CGAGCTCACGAGATGAAGACGAAGAGGAAGGTGCAGGAGAGCAGCAGGCGCAGCACGGAGATGGCCTGGCCCAGCCGCACGCTCTGCTGACGCACGTGCGAGGTCACCTCCTCGGTGAGCCGCTCCCGGGACACGTTCACGCCCACCAGCGTGTCCTGGGCCTCGTGCTGGGGGGCAGAGAGCCAGTCAGCGGGGGCGTGCAGCCCTCCCCAGGGCCCCAGCAGGCGTGGGGGCTGGGCATCTCACCTCCGGGGGCACTTTGTACAGGGGGGGGCTTTCCGCACCATTGGGGCCTGGCCGGGGGGAAAGGTCGGGCTCACACCCCGGAGGGGGCACTCGTTCTGCCCTAGAGTGATGTGGGAGGTGGTGGGTGTCACACCCTAGGGATGGGGAAAGGGCGGGCGTTACATCGGGGCAGGGGGAAGGGCGGGCGTTACTTCGGGGGCAGGGCGTTCACACCTTGACGACCAGCTGGGCGCTGAAGTCCTGGCTGATGCCGGCCACGGAGCCGTTCACCTTGTCGTAGGTTTGGCCGAAGTTGCCCTCCACGGGGATCTTGTCCCTGCACCAGGCGTGCATCACTGGGGAGTGGGGGTGGTGGTGAAGTGAGCTGCATGGAGTGGGGAGCCCCCCACCTGCCCCCCGTCGTGGGCACAGCCCCACCTGTCCCTCAGGGCTGCTAAAGGTGTGGGCGGGCTTCCTGGCTCTTCTGGGCTCAGAGCTGGATGCTCTGCCGGGGTCTGGCAGCACCGGGGCCCCGGATGGGAGAGGGTCCCAGCGTGTAGGGGGGGGCGATGGAACGAGGGTCTCTCACCCTCTGCAGCAGGCCTAGTCCTCCCCACCGCCCATGTCCCTGGACCTGGGCACGCAGCAGCCCTGCTTCCCCCAGCCCGGGGCTCCCAGCTCCTCCACCGTGGGGTCACCCTCTGGCCCCTTCCCCTCCCCCACCACTGCCCCCAGCCCAGGGTCTCCCCAAAGACTCACCCTGCACCATGTGGCAGAGGAACTTGAACTTCATGGGCAGGCAGAGCAGGTGGCTGATGAGGGGCACCGCAACGCGCCGCAGACAGGCCTTGTGCTTGGCGTCGAACCAGGCCTGGCAACGCCCGATCGCCTGGTCAATCACGTCTGGGGGGGGGGAGCAGGTCAGTGGGGCCTCTCGCCACAGCCCAGCGCAGCCCCCGGCTCGGCCCCACAGAGCGAGCGGAGCCGCAGCCCTGCCTGGTGCAGCCTGGCCCTGCCTCGGCCCCCGGCCCCCCACAGCCCGCCTGGGACTGTGCCCCCCACTCCCGCGCAGCCTGGGCACACTCACATTTGCAGCGCAGTTTGGTTTTCTGCTCGTACAGCTGCTGTGTGCTGGGGGCGCGGTGCCCCTGTGCCCGGCGCGGGCGCCTCACGCCGTACCCCGCCTCGCTGGCCACCTGCTCGTTCAGCCCCGCGAACGCCTGCGAGACGTTCCGGGTCTCCGCATTGAGGGTCTGCCCGCCCTTCTGCTGGGGGAAAAGGTGCTCACGGGGGGGGGTCTGCCGATGGGGGGGACCCCACCCTGAGCTGAGTGGGGGACCCCCAGGAACCACCACCCAGTGCAGCTCCTGCCCCACTGCCCTTACCCCAGTGCCTGTCCTCAACTTCCCAGCTCATCTGCCCGCCCCAGCCGGGCTCCCTGGTATCCCTGTGCCCCCCCCCGCCAGGCTCCCCGGTGTCCCTGCGCCCACCCCCGCCAGGCTCCCCAGTGTCCGTGCGCCCGCCCTTGCCAGGCTCCCCGGTGTCCGTGCGCCCCCCCACCAGGCTCCCCGGTGTCCCTGCACCCCCCCGCCAGGCTCCTCGGTG